GCCGTTCCCCTCCCCGGCCCGGAGCCGCGCCAAGCGGAGTCCGAGAGTGAGGTGAGAAGGGAGGGGTCCCTTCTAGGGCCTCCCCGACCTGGCCCCCGGCCCGCCCCTTGCCCCTGGGAGGACGAACTGCGTGGGCTGGGGCAGGCGGGAGGGAGCCTGGCAGTCCCTTTCCGTCTCCCGGCCCGCGTGGACATCCCGACCCCCAGTGACTGTCGGTGTGAATGAAGCTCGAGGTCTCCCCAGGGGTCTGGTTTAGAGGCAGGGGGTGTCCCAGGTGCTGCGGGTGTCTGGGCAGGCGGAGAGTTTGCATAATGTTCCCAGAAGGAGCTCCGGTCTTTGCGGGGTCCTGCAAGCTCCTGAAGTGGACGGGACGCGAGTGATCAGAGTCGGGTGTCCGGGTGAGGGGCGGTGGCAGGTCGAAACCAAGTCTGCCGGGTGGAAGGTTTACCCGCGTTTAGGCAGGCTGGCCCCGGATGCTTCATTCAAGGGCTCCACCTGGTGCCCGGAAAGCAGGGCCCAGCTCATGCCAGTCCGGGAGCGCGGGGTCTCCTGGCCCCAGGTGGACGGAGAGAAGCTGGCAGGGATCTGCGTGCATTTGAAACCACGCACGCTACTCCCGGGGAGAGATTCCCGGGCGTGGGTGTGGACGGGCGTAACGACAGAGGCGTTGGTTCTGCAGGGAGAACTACTAAGGTTGCAGGTCTGCGGCCAGCCGCACTCTGCCCTGCGTATTTCCCTGTGTGCAGATAAATTTGCCTTCTTCCCAGCTAGCCCACGTCTGCGGAAAGAAAGCGTTTCTAAGATGTCTAGGTGCTGACTTGACCTTTACCGGATCCCCCAAGCTGGTTATCAGGACAAACCTCCAAGGGATCGCACATGACACGGGCTTTTTGCCTACTTGGGAATTTAACTTGGAGCTGTTTTCCTGTTAGATGGGTTTTGATGAGACGATAAGGCAATTTTCCCGTTTTGGCAATGGAAGAATGTTCACCATATTTGGCATTGCTTGACTTCTCGGACACAGATTGCGCCAAGCTAACGTGAAAGCTGATGATGTTTGAGGTGGGGAGCTGATTCAACTAATGATTTACTTTTAAAGTGGTTGCAGTGGCTGGGTTAGGCTCTATCCTTTTCACTTCCTGTGTCTGGATTTGCTCCTGGGAGCTAAGTGTTTCCACAAGAAGTGACCCATTAGGGTAACTTAAAAGAATTGGCTGGGATGTTTGGTCCAGCCCTCAGCTAAATGTAGGGTTCTGGTGAAGTACTTACCCTTTCTCTCCAATGGCTTTGGTATGCATGTGACATTTACGTTCCTATGAGTATAAAAACGACTTTACATCTCACAGTTTTATCTGACATGCTTCCTGCTTTGAGAACGTTTACCATAAGAGAAACCACAAAACTGTAAGGACTTGAAGCTAAGACTTTCAACTCTCTCATTTGACAGATCTCAAAATGAATCTCATCAAGATTAAATTTGCAGGGGACCAGCAGAGGGCGTAATAGTTACTTCCATAGACTCCTGGTTTGAGTCCCAGACCCTCTGGCTTAAAACTCACACCAGGCACGTGTGTGTGTATGCACGCACGCCCAAGATCTTGAGAGGAGAATGGAGGAAAAGGGATTGTGGGTGGCCCTCTCCCCTTGGGGGGGGGGGAGTGCGGTGATTTCTTGCTTTCTGTCTCTCCCACAAGCACATGCACCCTATAGCAAAAATCTCTCTAAAGAGAAAGAAAAAAAGAAGAAGAAGAAGATAAAAAGGTGAACTTTGCACAATCTCATTTCATTAGATGGTTTGAAAAATCAAGACCCAGGAATCCAGTCGTAGATGCTTTCCATTGATCAAGGCTTTATTCTGAAATGCCAGTTTTATGCTCTTTTTTTTTTTTCCCCAAAACACCTTCTAAAATTATAGGTCAGTGGTTAGAGCTCCCACTCAAACTGATGAATTCCTGTCAGTAGTTTTGGAACAGGCCTTCCTCTGGTTTGTACTTCAAGACAAAGGACACTTAAGGTAAATGAATTTTGATTTTGAAAAAGATTAATCTGTTGTAACATGCCCCTAAGTTTCAAGATAGTTTATAAAGATTACTGAAATGAGACATGCTTGCTTTTTCTTGGTACTTGGGGGTTAAAATAGACCTCATCTACTGGTGGTCATAAAGGTCAATAAATGGGGTCACTTATGAGATTGCTGAGCTTATTCTTAGTGCCCTGGATACAGTTTTCCAAGTAGACTTAACTCCGGCTTGTTTCTTTCAGAGGGACAATTGCAAAAGCTTCTCGCCCAGCCAGATGGACAACATAATTTCCTAGGACTCGACAATGAGCACTGGGTTACCCCTAACCTTAAACCTTGAATGCCTACTTGGAGACTGCAGCAGGGCACATTTGACCATGAAAAATGATCTCCAATCATCTGGGTGGTCTTCCTCTTCAGCTAAACCCCAGACATGGTGAGAAGAAGAAGAAGGACCCTCCCTACGCGATCAGACTCATCCAGACCAGTCATCCTGGCCTGTTTTGGCAAGGATGATCAAATCACTGTCTTCTGCTCACGCCACCCCTGAGTCACCACCACCTCCAGGACTGCCATCCTGAATGTGTGCAGGTTGTGACATGTCAAGGGCATCTGGAATGCAAGTGGAAATCCCTCCCAGGCTCCGCTCCACACAGTGTGTGTTGGTGTGTGGCTGTGTCTACCCACAGGATGCGGCTCCTTTTTCTAATTTGCACCGCGGGATGCCGAGCGGCTGGCGCTGGGTCTAACGGTCTCACCCCACCCCCCACTTTAGCCCTATCCGGGTTATATTCCTTACTCCAGAAGAATCCTTTATTTTTCTGAAGAACAGAATTAAGTTTACTGTGAAAGATGAAATCTTGGACCAAATGAAAGTGAATTTTATAGGTAAACCTCAAAATATTCCCATGTATGTGAACAAAGTATGTATGTATTAGGGTTGGTGGGAAAGTCGTGATGTATTATTCTGTATTTTTCTATGCAAAAATGTGTTACTACTTTTCCAATGACCCAGTTATGCATATGGATATATATTCATGTATACATACATATATTTCTATGAATCTTATTGTAGGACAACTCAGATTCGATAATTGTTTAAAATGCAGCTATCTTGGGTTTTTTATTTGTTTGTTTATTTTTTTATTTTTTGGAGAGGTTTTTGCTATAGGGTACATATGCTCTCCAGAAAGACAGAGAGAGTAAGAGAGACAGAAAGCGAGAAATCACCCCCCAGGGGGGATGGTCCCGCCGCAATCCCTTCTCCTCCATTCTCCTCTTGGGATCTTGGGCACACATGCACACGTGCCCGGTGTGAGTTTAAGCCATGGGGTCCAGGACTCAAACCTGGATTGCATGGGAGTTCAGCAACGTAGCCATAACGCTATCTGCTGGTCCCCGTCTATTTTTTAAGAGAGATTTTTGTTATAGGGCATGTGCACTCACCAGAGAGAGACAGAGAGACAGAAAGCGAGAAATCTCCCCTACCCCCCAGGGAGGTTAGTCACACGACACAGTCCCTTTTCCTCTTTTCTCCTCTGGGATTTTGGGCACACATGCATGCACAGGCACCCAGCATGAATTTCAAGCTGCTCGGTCTGGGACTCGAACCATGGTTGGCCATTTGGGAGTCTAGCAACATAACCACTACATCATCTGCTGCTTCCCTGTCTTTGGTTTTGAAATGAGTTTTATATATGAATTCCTGACCTTTACAGAAATATGTACTGTTTAGTTCCATGATTATCGCTAGGCCCCGTGCTAAACATGTATGACTACAAAGAAAAATAAATACAGAGGCTTTAATAATCTAGTAAGAATCACAATTAAATTTGGGATTCTAAATTATGGTAAGGGCTGGGAACAAATGCCAAGATGGAGAATAATGAGGCACATCTAGTTTAGATTAAGTGACTAGAAAAAGCTCTGAGAAAAATAACATTTCAAGACAACCAAGTGGCGGTGGTTTAGGCATCTGGATCCCACGTGAGTGACTGCAGTTCTAGTCTCCAATGGAGCCAAGTGTGTGTGCACTCATGCCCAAAGTCCCAAGAGAGAATGGAGGAGGTGGGATGGCAGCTTTACCATTTCCCCCAGGGGTGCTTTCTCCCTTTCCCTCTCTCTGTCTCCCTGGTAAATGCATGTGCTATATAGCAAAACTAAAAAAAGGAAAAAGAAAATGGCATTTTAGTTGCCTGAGGATGAGTCCAAAGGCATTGACGAAGAGACTCTGTCCTGCCATTTAAAGTACAGAAACAGGTAAATTCAGAATAGAATTTATTACGTGTAAGGAGAAGTGCTCAGCGAAGTGGATAACTAAGCAGAGAGATCTGAGAGGCCAAGTTCATAGTGTTTTGGTTTATGGGCTTCAGGCAACTAATGAAGTTACACCCACGTAGTTGTTATTTCTTTTTGCTTTTGCGAAATACCCTATCCACTTTCCAACCTCATCCTCATCCATCTTTGTCAAGATTAAATCTTGGCTAACACTGTGCCTCTTCTAGGAATTATTCGTGTTTGAAGGGCCCGTCAGCCATTGAGCCTCACCACCAAGCATGTATGTACTATGTTTTCATTTGTGCATGGTTGATAACCATCGGAGGCTTTTTTGCATTTGTATTGATTGACTATCCATGAAAGTTAACCTCCATGAGGTCAGGATTTGGGTTTCCTTCTTTGGTTACCTCAGCAAAGTCTAGTTCATTGTCATGGTCCAGTAGCCAGCCTCTTGGTAAATACTGCTCACTGGTTGGCTTTGCTTGACTTGACACCTTTTAAATGTTTAAATGGTGAAAATATTTGTATCATAAAACTGTGTAATGGTAAGCAGAAGGGAATACATGATTAAAAGTGCACCATTGCTCTAAAAGTTCAAGGAAGCTTGCTATTAAAACGTGATTCTAGGGACCAGCAGTTAGCATAATGGCTATGTCACTGGACTCCCTTGTAGTCGACCGCGGTTCATATCCCGGACCCGGTGGCTTAAAACTCACGCCGGGCGTGTGTGCTTGCGTACCCAAGATCCCGAGAGGAGAATGGAGGAGAAGGGATTGCAGCGTGGCCATCGCCCCTGTGGGGTGATTTCTCGCTTTCTGTCTCTGTCTGGCGAGTGCTCGCACCCTATAGCAAAAACCTCTCAAAAAAACCCCAAAAAAAACAAAAAATAAAAAACAAAAAACAACCAACATGATTCTACAGAAGCACAGGGCAGCCAATGATGCTAAAGGATAAATACACATCCTTTAAAAAATTAGACTGATGGGGGCTAGCAGATGGCTTAGAGGTTAAGGTGGCTGGATCTCTCATTGCCAGCTGAGTAGTTCAGATCTGCATACCTGGCAGATTGAAAATCATGTAGAGTGTGTATGCATGTATGCTCAAAATCCTGAGAGAAAGGATTATGGCATGGCCATCCCCCTGGAGGGTGATTTCTCACCTTCCCTCTTTATCTCTCCCTCTGTTTCTGGCAAGTGCACACACCCTATAGAAAATAAAACAAAACTAAATTAAAATAAAGACTGGTTATAGGTAAATTGACACAATGGTAGGACTGCTGCTTGGATAGACTTTCTACAATTATTCAGCCTTTCAAAAGTTAGCAACTGCTTTGTGCCAGACTCTATTCTGGGCACTGGGGACAAAGCAGTGAATGGAACTTCTCTCATGGACCTTGTATCCTAATGAAGAGATAGAGAGCAAAGGATACAGGGTAGACCAGAGGGTGATGAGGGCTCTAGGGGAACAGACCTGGGGATGGTGGTTAAGGCAGGTGGATCTCACATGGCTGACCATGTGGTTTGAGTGCCTGACCCAGTGGCTTGAGAAACACACTGGGCACATGTGCATTTGTCCCTAGAATCCTGAAAAGAAGGAGAGATAGAGGAGACGGGATTGTGGTGTGACCATTTCCTTTAAGGGGTGCTTCTCAGTTTTTCCCTCTCTGTCTCTCTAGTGAGCACATGCACCCTATAGCAAAATTAAAAAAAAAAAAAAAAGACAGATAAAGAAAGGATCATGGGTGAGAATGGTTGAGAGAAATAATAAATTTATATATATTGTCTGGACAGGTATTTATTGAGAAAATGCAAGGGGACTTCAAACAGTTTGTGGAAAAATGGAATTAAAGTATAAGTTTATTGCTCTTTATTTCCATTATTTTGCCATAGGGCATGTATGCTTACTAGAAAGAGAGAGAAAGTGAGAAATCACCTCCTAGGGGGGATGGCCACACCACAATTCCTTCTGCTCTATTCTCTCCTGGGGATTCTGGGCACATAGGCACACACGCCTGGCATAATTCTCAAGCCTCTGGGTCTGGGACTTGAACCACTGTAACCACCACACCACCCGATGGCCTCCAAGTACAAGTTTATTTGGGTGCAAAAAATAACTTAAAAATGTATGCATAGTTCAGCACCTACATTTTCCATGAACTTTTTGAAGACCCTCTTGTATCAGGGCAGAGACTAAAGCAGCGAGCCATTCTGTAAGCATGCGGAACTGCAAGTCAAATGAATGAAGCACACTTGGTGTGTTCAAGGATCAGCAAAGAGGCCCATGTGGCTGGAGCAGAGTGGATGATAGAAAAGATGGTAAGAAATGAGGGGAGTGAAGGAGCAGAGACCCAGATGGCACAGTCTTGTAAGCTATGTTAAGGACTTAGGATTTTACTCTGGGTATGATGCTTGTTCAAATAGTTCAGATTTTTTTTGGAGTCTTTATATTGTTTTTTGTTTGTTTTTTGTTCTCATTCTGCTATAGGGTGCTTGTGCTCACCGGAGAGAAACAGAGAGAGAAAGAGAGAGGGGAAAAAAAAGGGAGAAATCATTCCCCACAGGGAATGGCTATGCCTTCCCCTCTGTTTTTCTCTCAAGATTTTGGGTATGCATGTACACACACCTGGCATGTTATTATTTTATTTTATTTTTTGGAGAGGTTTTTGCTATAGGGCGTGTGTGCTCGCCAGACAGAGAGAGAGAGAGACAGAGAGACAGAAAGTGAGAAATCACCCCCCAGGGGGGATGGCCACGCCACAATCCCTTCTCCTCCATTCTCCTCTTGGGATTTTGGGCATGCATGCACACGCGCCCAGTGTGAGTTTTAAGCCACCGGGTCTGGGACGTGAACCACGGTCAACTACTTGTGAGTCCAGTGACATAGCCATTACGCTAACTGCTGGTTCCTCTGGCATGTTGTTCAAGACTCCCAGTCTGGAATTGAACTGCACAGTCTGCCTTAACCACCATGCTACTGATTGACCCTGTATTGTTAATTTTAACTCAATCTCATTATAGTTAGAAAGTACACTCTGTATGAATTGAATTTTTAAATTTTTTGAGACATTTTTTATGGGCATTAAGATGGTCTATTTTGGTAAAAATATGTATTATTGAAATGAATGTATATTCGGCTCTTGTTGAGTAAAATATTCTATAAAGCCAAGTAAGTAAAGTTGGCAGATATTGTTGTTTCAATCTTCTATTTCCTTATTATATATATATTTTTTAGGTTTCTATCATAGGGTTCATGTAATTTACCAGAGAGACAGAGAGAAAGGGAAAGTAAGAAATCACTTCCCAGTGGGGATAACCATGCCATAATTCCTTCTCCATTCTCCTCTTTGGATCCTGGGCATGCATGCATACACACTAGTATGATTTTCTTTTCTTTTTTTTTTAAATTATTTATTTTATTTTATTTATTCATTCATTTATTATTAATTTTTTTTTAGTTTGACCAGAGAGACAGAGGTTGAGAGTGAGAGAGAAAGGAAGTGAGAAAGCAAGCCACCAGATTCAGGACTTGAACCCTGGTTGGCCACGTGGGAGTGTCCAGCGCCTTAACCACCACGCCACCTGCTGGTCCCCAAAACACTAGTATGATTTTCAAGCCACTGGGTCCTGGACTCGAACTGTGCTTGGCCATGTGGGAATGCAGCATCTTAACAACCACATCATCTGCTGGCCCTCTTCTATTTCTTTATTGATTTTCTGTCTACTTGTCCTAGCAATTATTGAAGGAGGGATATTGACATCTCCCAATAAAATATGGATGCATTTGTTTCTTCTTGCAGATCTATCAGTTTTTGTCCTATATATTTTGAATCTATTATTGGTTGTATACATTTTTAGGATTATTATGTTCTCCTGATGAAATAGCCCCTTTGTCATTATAAAATGTCTT